ACCCTTTGTGACTTTGTAATAGTCTTCTGTGATACCACTGACATCATAAACTGCCCCGGGGTACACAGTTAACAGCCGCTCAGGCGGTATAATTAATTAAAGCCCGTGGCCTGGTGGTAAAGTTCTAGCTTCACACGCTGAGGGTACCGACCGGGTTCGATTCCCGGCAAAGGTAGAAACAATGGGCGTGTTTCCTTACACTGGTTTGTCCATGTTCACCCATTAGTAAAATGTGTACTGGGTGTTAGTTTACTGGTGTGGGTCGCATCCTGGGACAAAACTGACCTAATTTGCCTGAAATGCTCAGCATAACAAGCGGCTTTCTATATAGTAGTATGTCATTGATGTCAGCTAGGACTGTGTACCTTGTACATGTACTTGTAGTAAATGAAGATATTATATTATATACTCTAAGATACATTGTTCCAGTGTATGGCCCTGACTTTGTCTACTCAATTTGCATTTAATATCTGGACACACAAAAGGGCGCAGAATCATTCTTCAACTCCATTTTTTTTTAGGTTTCTATGACATAGGAGAGGCCGGTTACTCACTCAGAGAGAGTAAAGTTATCCGGCCTTTACCAGAATTTAGACGAAAGATCCACCCACCTAATTGAAAACAATTGTTCCGTATTTATTTTCATGAGAACTACTTTACCTTTGCAATTAACACCCGGGATTTAAGCAATATTTGTTTCCCCATAAGATGAGTCAATACAACGTTGGTTGAGGTGGCCCTATAACCCAAAAACAATAACAAGGTGTTGTGCATGTTGTTGCTGACAATCATGAATTCTGCAACATCTTTTTCAGACAGTTCTTGTCAGTTTGGGTTTAATTTACTCTCAGGATCATGGGAACTCACTCAGGTATGTTGTAAATATAAAAAAAGTCTCAGTAAACTCACACATTGTATATTAAAATTACACGACGCTAAGTGGAAAGGACCCAGTGGAAATTTGTTTATTTATTTAATTTATTATTTATTTATTATTTGGACATGATACATAGTTGTACAAAAGAATACAGTGGTTGAGTGAAAATGGCAAAAGTCCCTTGTATGCAGAGCATTATGGTCAGGCTTAAAATTAACTTAAGATTAACTAAGCAATGATATATTCAGTGGTAAAAAATTACAATAAACAAATTACAACATGAAGTACAAATAATATTTCAAATAAGAGACATTATAGTTGTACAAATTTGTAGCATATTTGATGAGTTACTGAGCATTCAGTAGAATGGTAATGTAATTACAAAAAACATAGTTTGAGATACATGTTAATCAGTATTTATTTAGTTGTGGGTGAGTAAGTGGTTTTTTGAGAAGACTTGAATTTATAAACAGGTAGTGTTTTTTTTTATATTCACAGGTAATGAATTCCAGATTTTAGGGCCTTTTATGTGGCATTGAGTTTTTGCATAGTGTGAGATGGACACGAGGAACATTAAAGAGTGATCTGTGCCTTGTGTTATGGTCATGTGTTCTGTTGAGGTTGGTAAGGAGATGTTTGAGGGGAGGGTTATGTCAGAGTTAAGTGTTCTATGTATGTAATAGGTGCAGTAATAAGTATGGATGTTTTGTATGGTGAGTAGGTTTAGATTTTTTGAATATTGGTGAAGTGTGCTGCCTGTAGTGGGAATTTATCATTCTGACTGCAGCCTTTTGTTGGGTGATTAATGGTCTGAGATGGTTAATTGTTGTTGAGCCCCATGCACAAATTCAAAATAAGTCACTTTGACATTTTTTAGGGTTATTCTTGGTAATCTGCACTATATGATAATTGTACTTAGTGTACCTCTGCCTAAATAAACTTAAGGGAAAAAATGCCAGTGTTTTGACTTATTACTCTTATATCTTCAGGAGATAAATATGCAAGTCGAGAACAAGTAGTTAGTGTTACTAATTTTCAACCCCTCAAAGGGGGTTCCTTGATGCTGGTGAGGGGCTCTTGATCTAGGGAATTGGATCTGTGCTCCAGTTCCCTGCATTAAGCCTGAATACCTTCCATTCCCCCCTCCCACAGGTGCTGTATAATCCTATGGGTTTAGTGCTTCCCCATTATAATAATAATAATAATAATTTCAAGCAGGGCAGCACTTTATAACTTTTGGGTTTAGTACTTCTCCATGATTTTAATGTATGTGAAGTATGCAAGGCAAGATAAGATTTTCTTTAAATTTTTAACCTGGAGGAAGGTTAACCTCCCAGGATAACCCAAAAAAGTCTGTCAATTAGGACTGTCTGTCTTATTTCCATTGTGGTCCTTTAATCTTGTTCCATTGTAGTACTTTAATCTTGTTCCATTGTGGTCCTTTAATCTTGTTCCATTGTGGTCCTTTAATCTTGTTCCATTGTGGTACTTTAATCGTGTTCCATTGTGGTACTTTAATCGTGTTCCATTGTGGTACTTTAATCGTGTTCCATTGTGGTACTTTAATCGTGTTCCATTGTGGTACTTTAATCGTGTTCCATTGTGGTACTTTAATCGTGTTCCATTGTGGTACTTTAATCTTGTTCCATTGTGGTACTTTAATCTTGTTCCATTGTGGTACTTTAATCGTGTTCCATATGTGGTACTTTAATCATGTTCCATTGTGGTCCTTTAATCTTGTTCCATTGTGGTCCTTTAATCTTGTTCCATTGTGGTCCTTTAATCTTGTTCCATTGTGGTCCTTTAATCGTGTTCCATTGTGGTCCTTTAATCGTGTTCCATTGTGGTACTTTAATTGTGTTCCATTGTGGTACTTTAATCGTGTTCCATTGTGGTACTTTAATCGTGTTCCATTGTGGTACTTTAATCTTGTTCCATTGTAGTCCTTTAATCTTGACAGTGAGGTAGTAAACAATTTATAAGTTAGGTACAGTTAGGTATTACTATATTACTTTCTTAATTAAACAATAATGTAATGTCTTGTTAATTATTACTATACAGCTGTACTATTTTAATAAAACAATAGTTTATGATTATTGCTATAAGACTCAGGTTACTAAAACTTACTGTATTTGTTCAGTTTCCTTTTTAAAGTAGGCACATTCTAATTACCCAGTATGCAAATAACCCTCACTTTTTCTACTACTACTGTACTACTGTACTACTATACTACTACTATACTACTACTGTACTACTGTACTACTACTGTACTACTATACTACTACTGTATACTGTACTACTATACTATATATTACTTATACTACTACTATACTACTACTACTACTAATACATATACTACTGCTATACAACACTACTGTACTAACTATACTACTACACTACTACTACTATTACTGTACAACTATACTACTATACTACTGTACAACTACTACTACTATACTACTACTACTTACTATACTACTACTTTTTACTAATACTACTACTATACTATACTACTACTTTCATACTATACTACTACTATACTACTACTACTACTACTATACTAATACTATACTACTACTGTACTACTACTATACTACTACTATACTACTACTACTATACTACTATTACATACTTACTACTATACTATTACTATACTACACTATACTATACTACTACACTACTATCTATACTACTACTATATGACTACTATTATACTACTACTATACTACTACTATACTATTACTACTATACTATTACTATACCACTACTATACTACTAAAACTACTATCCTACTACTATACTATTACTACTACTGCTATACTATTACTACTACTGTTACTACTACTGCTATACTACTACTATACCACCACCACCACCCATCTTACCACTACCACCACTACTTTTCTTCCTCTCTTAGTCTCATCCCTGTCTCCCTCACCTATATATACTGGTGTGAATTTGTAAATGGTCCAAGTTGGATTGAAATGTCATAGTAATCTTCTCTCTTATGTTTGGGTTATTTGTGTATTGTTCCAGTCAAGATATTGTGCCTTTTTGTTCTTTACACTCTTAAGTTATTATAGCTATATTACTGCAGTTATCTCTTGCAGGTATGCATATACTTATAAGATTTTATCTATGATCTTTCTTTTAAGAACATTTTTGAGAACCTAAGTTTCCGAGAGGTATCAAGATTTCGGTCTGTGTGTAGGACTTGGGCAGATGTTGGAGCCAAAATATTAGAAAAACGTCGGAAGCTTCATTACCTGACTATACATCCACACAGCATACCCACAACAGAGGGCAAAGTGAGTTTGTTCAGCTGTTTTAATATACTTAGATCACACCAAACTTAAAATACAAGGGAACCTCTTATTAACGGACTAATCAACAGAAGGGGGTGTTCTAGATAATTTGCAGTAATTTTAATTACATTTTCATGGAGGAGAGATGAGGGGTAAACTGTCATGATTGATAATGGTGAAAATGAAAATGAAAATGTTTATTTCCTTGCAAAGCTTACAATGTGTGGTTTACATATTATAAAATATAATTACAAGGAAAGCCACTAGCATGCCTAGGCATTTTGGGCAGACTAATCCTAATTCTTACTCTGTATTGGCTCAGGTTATGGTGTAGTACATTTTAATATACGTTATTGTATACTGATGTGAAAGTTAGGTAATTGAAGTGATTATCATTAATTAGATTGATAATAGTGGGGTAGTACAAAACATACAACAGTATTAGTTATTAATGGGAATGGTTTTATCTCGACATGATACACTGAATTTATAAAAGCTCCTATATTGGTAGAGTATTCTGGCAAACTTTGGACTAACTTAAGATTAATTAGGCAATAACTATACAGTATTAGGAATTTTATGTTTACAGTCATTTGGGCGAGTATAAGTGTGAAATAGGGAGAATTACAGATATCGAGAGTAAGTCTATTTTGTTTTGGAAGTGTTCACGATTCAAAAAAGAGAACAGGTGGTTTTCATATAGTTAGCTGATAAAGAGGAACTGTAAAACTCCTCTTTATTTGCCCATACCAGATAAACGTTGGAGTTAGTGGCTCAGTACACGAGAAGACAACTAGATGCTATCACAATGGACAAAATACAATATTATGGACTTTTGTCTTTTGTCTGATAGTTAGAGCTTTTGTCACGCTAATTATTTTGTCCAAAATTATTGAAATCTATTAATAAGAGGTTTTACTGACAGCCCCCCTCATTTAAACGAGGTTTTTCCTTTCCCTAAGCCCACATAGATAAAAAAAAACATCGCAAAAGTGAGGAGCATACTATAAGGGTGTGATTTTGGTGTAAAGCCATCTTTGATTTTGTTTAATTTAACCTTTGTCCCAAATTTAAATATTTCTGGTATATTCTTAAATTTTTATACGTAGTTTTTACTGTTTATTTTTAAAAACAAAAAAAAGGGGGAAATCGCTCTAAATAACATTTTTAGGTATGCATAGGGTTTCATAGATCCCTCAAAAGTGCAAGGTGTCGGAAAAAGTACGGTCAGTAAGTGGGGAATCTTTTTATATTGATTCATTTTTTTTTTAATTTCTTTGGTTTTTAAAAAAGGAAAAATTGTTTTTGAAAATTAAAAAAAACGTTACAAAAAACCCCTTTAAAAAATTTCCCCTAACTAAAATAAACCCCCCCCCCCCCCCAAACCCCCCCTTAAAAACTTTTTAGCTTTTTTTTTAAATTTTGCAGTTTAATACTTCTTTTTTAAAAAAAAATTCCCAAAAACCGGTTGATTTTTAAATTTTAAAAAAAAAAATTTTTTTCTTAGCTTTTTTAAAAAAATTCATTATTTGTGCATTTTCATTATATGAATGAACTGAGCACATGGGGACCATAATTTTTTGTTAAAGATTGGTCAAGAAATAAAGAATTAATTTTTTAAATTTTTTTTTCCTTTGGGTTAGTTTTTACCATGTAATTAATATTTGTGAATGTTTTTTTTTTTTTACATGTTTTGAAAGCTCCCCTTTTGTTTAAAAAAGGGACTGAAAAAAACCCATAGGTTTAAATTTAAAAATTTTTTTTAAGGGGTTTAATTTTGATACAGGGGAAACCTCAAATTTCAAATTTTTTTCACTTATCGAAAAAATTTAAAAATAGAACCCTTTTTTTTGAACCAATTTTGGTCCCTTTATCGAACGCGCCCCTGTTTTCGGACTGCCGGGTACCGGACCTGTCCGCCAGCCCGCTCTGTCCGCATTCTGCGCAGGCGCAGTGAGCCAGTCTGGCTTTGTTGATGCTTGAGTGAACACTAACCTGCCCTCTCATTCAAACATTTTACAATTATTTCATTGTGTTTAGTGCTTGTCGGACTGTGAAATAAGCTACCATGGGCCCAAAGAAACTTCCTAATGGTACTCCTGTGGTAAAGAAAGTGAGAAACACCATAGATGTGAAGAAGGAAATAATACAGAAGTATGAGAGTGATGTGAGACTTGCTGAGCTTGCCAGGATGTATGGGAAAAACAAGTTGACCATCAGTTTTATTCTGGCAAAGAAAGAACAAATCAGGGAAGCTGATGTTGCAAAAGGTGTTAATATGCTAACCAAAAAAAAGACCACAAATAGTTGAAGAGGTTGAGAAGTTGTTGCTGGTGTGGATCAAGAATAAAGAGATGGCAGGTGATAGTGTTTCAGAGATGATTATTTGCGAAAAGGCAAGGAAGTTGCATGCCGCTCTGGTACAGAAAACTCATGGAACCAATTCATTGACAGAATCATGTCCTATTTTAGGGAAATGTTAAAGAGGCACCAGAAACAGAGGACTGTGGACAGTTATTTTGTGAGACAGGGGTCCAGTGACTCAAGCTGGTCCTAGTGGCATTAAAAGACAGAGAAGGGAAGTAACCCCAGAGAGGGCTTTACCTGAAGTCCTCATGGAGGGGGATTCCCCTTCCAAACACTAACCCCAACTCCCCCTCTCCTCCTCCCTATCTTCCAGATGCCATCACCAATCTTCAATAAATGTAAGTAAAAATGTTATTTTATATTTATATACATAAATTACTCAGATATGGTAAACATGAGGAAATTAAATCTTCATCAGAGTACAAAACAAATTCTGGCCACAAAATAGAGCGAAACACCAACGTCAAAGACCTGGGAGTGATTATGTCGGAGGATCTCACCTTCAAGGACCATAACATTGTATCAATCGCATCTGCTAGAAAAATGACAGGATGGATAATGAGAACCTTCAAAACTAGGGAGGCCAAGCCCATGATGACACTCTTCAGGTCACTTGTTCTATCTAGGCTGGAATATTGCTGCACTCTAACAGCACCTTTCAAGGCAGGTGAAATTGCCGACCTAGAAAATGTACAGAGAACTTTCACGGCGCGCATAACGGAGATAAACACCTCAATTACTGGGAGCGCTTGAGGTTTTAAACCTGTATTCCCTGGAACGCAAGGAGGGAGAGATACATGATTATATACACCTGGAAAATCCTAGAGGGACTAGTACCGAACTTGCACACGAAAATCACTCACTACGAAAGCAAAAGACTTGGCAGACGATGCACCATCCCCCCTAATGAAAAGCAGGGGTGTCACTAGCACGTTAAGAGACCATACAATAAGTGTCAGGGGCCCGAGACTGTTCAACTGCCTCCCAGCACACATAAGGGGGATTACCAACAGACCCCTGGCAGTCTTCAAGCTGGCACTGGACAAGCACCTAAAGTCAGTTTCCTGACAGCCGGCTGTGGCTGTACGTTGGTTTGCGTGCAGCCAGCAGCAACAGCCTGGTTGATCAGGCGCTGATCCACCAGGAGGCCTGGTCACAGACCGGGCCGCGGGGGCGTTGACCCCCGAAACTCTCTCCAGGTAAACTCCAGGTAATAATTGAACACTATAGTATTTGTTGTGTGTATGTAAAACTGTAATTAATCTATTTTTTTGTGAATTTTTTGGGTTTCTGGAATGGATTAATTGTATTTCCATTATTTCTTGTGGGAAATATTGCTTCGATTTTCAGACTTTTCGAATTTAGAGCTAGCTCCTGGAACGGATTAAGTTCGATATTTGAGGTCTCGCTGTATTATTTTTTCCTTGGTTAGTTTTTACCATATTCATTCATACTGTATGTATATTATTTTTGTGTATATATGTATGTATAGAGAACTCACATTTGTTTGGTAGAGACTGGTCATGAACCATAGATTAAATATTTATTTTGTATGAAGACTGTTCAAGAACCATAGACTCAGTATTTACATTGTTTGGAGAGATCGGTTATGAACCATAGATTTAATATTTATGTCATTTGGTTGGGCTGTGGTACCCTCCTAGTTTCTCTCAAATCTCTTTGCTAGATTGTTTTTTTTTTAATATCACTACAGTATTAATCAGATTAGAGCAATATTTAAAGAGATACATCATCCAAAACACAGATAGAACATAATGGTATTTGTGAGTTCCAGAATTGTGAGGACCTTTGGGAAGCTAACCTTCACGAATTTATGTATATATGTATGCAAACTGTAATTAAACATAACAGTTGTGAATCCCAACTGTCTTTATATTATTTTCTTTTAGGTGGCCTTGGGAGAAGCCTCACCAAGTAGTCTGTTTGAGGGCTTCTTTAACCATATTGTAAGCAAGCCCAGTTACTGTATTGCATTTTGTAGTGAAGATTGGCTAAGCAAGCCAGATGTGTTTAATATCAAGGAGGAGAAGGGTAAGAAATTAAAAATTTAGTTATAGTATCTACGATATTGACTTGCTTGGTAAAAACTGTTTGAAAACTACACAGAAATAGTATTTTTGGTATTTTTTATTTAATTTCTTTTACAGGAAATTTGACGCTTCTTGAGTATATAAGTGGGTCCTTCCACCTACTTGTGAACTTGGGCTAGTGTCTGCCACAGGAGTAATAGGAACTGTTGAAAACAACTTTCAAGGCCATTGGCTTGAGTCAGCCACCAATATGAATCAAGAAATATTATCCTATCTCTGTAGTAAAGAAAAAGAAAAACATAAGCTTAATAAATGGTGTAAGAGATCAAATAATTCAGAGGAAATAGAGGGCAAAGAGGAAGAAGAAAATTTGCAAAATAGATATCCCAAAACACCTTGTCTCAAACTGCATCAAAAAGTACTCATCACAGAGCACTTCATCCCAAAGTGCATCATCACTTAATGTATCACAAAATACAATATCACAAAGTAGTTCATGCAGTTCATCATCAGGTGATGCAGTCACTGCTATGAAAAACAGTGACATTGTTAAACGGTCTAGTGTTGGATACAGCATTGAGGTAGAAGGGATAATACAATCACATCGGCAAGCAGATGCTGTTTCTTGTTGCTTATTCCACACCATCCTGGAGTTCAGCTGAAATTCTTCAAACTTTGTGAGGAGACATTCTTCAAGGATTATGTAAGTATTTTTATATTGTATTAGACTGCATGTTTATATTAGTAATATAGCAAGAGAAGCACTGTGCAGTTTAACCTTTGAGGGTCCAGAGGACAGTTCTCAGAGTGACAGTCAGGGTCCAAGAATTAAAAAAAAAAAAAAATTATTTTTGTCTTGTGAATGGTAGAGAATCTTTTTCTGATGGTAATAAACAAAAAGTACAAAATTTGATGGAAAATTGACGAAATTACACTTGCGAATTTTGCTGCATCAGCGATATTTACGCATTGGCAATTTTGCTGACTTTGACACTCTTTTAGGCAGTTACTACTATTCCAGTTGACCAAATGCTTAGCTTTTTCGCTAGTATTACTTCTATTTTATCGACTGAGCATGAAATCGCCCAGTCAGCTTTCAGCTACCAATAAAGTGATCAGAAATTGATAATTTGGCCAATTTAATGTCAGAAATAGTTTGTAGACCACTGCACTGTTATAATAACTTATGAGTGCCCCAACTTACGAGTTTTCTGAGTTACGAGCCATTGCTCGGTCAGTTTTTTGCTTTGAGTTGCGAGCCAGAATCTGAGTTTTGAGCGAGCTTCGGATATACAGCCACTAGTTGGCGCAGCAAACGCCATAACATCTGTCCAGCATCTGGCGTCTCACTTGTTCACTGCACTGGTTACCTCGCCGTGGAAGCATCTTCTTGTGTTGTGTCTGCGTTTTGTACTTTTTGTGCAGCTGTTTTGCCAAATTTCTTTTTTCTAACCATAGGTCCTAAGAAAGTACGTAAGTGCAAAGGACAGTGCTGAAGAAGAAGAGGATGATGTCCACTGAATTAAAGCATTAAATCATAGAAAAACACAAGTGAGGTGTGTGTAGTTGACTTGGCAAGGCAGTACGAGCATAGTACAGTACTGTACTAGCAGACCCCAGGCACTCCAATAGACGAGGCATCGTGAAAGTGAAGTGAAAAAAAAAATTGTAGCAATTAAGTTCAGTGATAAAGTGTAGCATTAAGAGTGTAGCAAGTAAGTTAAGTGATTAAGCGATAGAGTTTATGATGAACGAAAGCCACCGAAACAGCATGAAACAAAATTATATCCAATCTCCTCTGCCTATCTTTTCCACCCTCTATTTCCACCAGCATCTTCCGTTACCCCAAGTCTTCTGATCTCCAAGGTAAATACACTTTATAAAACCAGTTTATTTCTTTACATTCTCTTTTATTGTGTTATGTATTTATACAATATTTCTTATTTATAAATACATTTTTCTTATTTAAAAACCCATAACAAAAAAATTGGGGCTGGAATGGATTACTGGCATTTCAGTTAATTTCAATGAGGAAAATTGATTTGATATACGAGCAAATTGAGTTACGAGCTTGGTCACGGAACGAATTAAACTCGTAAGTCAAGGTGCCACTGTACATATATAAAAAACAAATGAGTAACCATTTTTATTTCATGGAAAATTATTCCTTTAATTTTACTTTTAACAGAACTTGATGAGACTGAATATTTAGATGAATTATTTTTTGTCCCTCAAATGACTCTGGAAATGGAAAGGTGGTAAAAAAAAGTCAGAAGAGGAAAAATGTATTTTTTGAAAGAAAAGTGGATTTTTCTCAGGTGTTTTATGGATATCATGTCCCATTTTTTACATAGTTCACTTTTAGAAGATTTCCAGTTCAGCAGTTCATTTCCAGTTTTCTTATTAATAATATTTATTTCAGCGTAAAGATGAAGATGCAAGTTGTGACAACCTTACCATCACTGGTAGTGAGTTCAACCAAATGACATCTGTGTCACAGGATGACCGAGTCAAAGCCTTACTCATATTTGATGTTGGCCTTGATGAAGGCTTCACAGAAGCTTTCATTCATTCAGCTCTGCTCAGGTGAGTTTTTTTTTTGTGAAGAGATACTGTATTTTTATTCACTAAAATTTAGATGCATAGAGGATTTACATTACCATAGAGTAAAAGCACTGCATACAGAAAAGTATCTAGAAAGCTAAGAATGTGCATGCTAACCTCCAGTAAAGAATATGGGTGACCTCTGAATTATGCCTCTCCAGTATTTATGACCATTTTTTCTGGAGGATCAGCCCCTAAAAATTTGGATTTTAGGGTATGAAATTAATTTCCCCATTTAAAACATTGCACACATATGAAAGAATTGTGTGACTGGTGACTGCTCTTCCTGAAATAATTAGGTTGTAGGTGTAAAGGTTGCCTGTGCAGTACAGTACATACTGTATAGTACGTATACCTATTTCATTGAGGTCATTATAAAGGGATTTTTATTTACATCTTTGCTTGATGTTTCTTCCAGTTGTATAGTGGCCTTACCAAACATGCCAAATAAATGAATTTTCTGCATGGTAGTTAAAATTAGGGGTATTGCATTTGTGATAGTGTATATGAAAGTACAGTCTCCTTTGGGAAAGAGGAGAAGAACCCTTCCTCCATAAGGCATTTCATGTTGTAAGAGGTGACTATAATGTCAGAGGAAGGGACCAATAACCACTTTTTGTAAAAATTTACTAAATGTAAAAAGAAGAAAAACTTGCATTTCTTCTTTTTCAGGTCCCCTTGCCTTGGTGGGAGACGACTAGTTTGTTAACAAAAAAAAAAAAAATGTATTACAGTACAGTACAGTATTTCCTTTAGAAATACTGTACTGTAGTTTCTAGTGTTTCATGTACTGTTTGGTGCTCTTACTCTTGGTTTCTGGTCATTAGCTTCTAAAAGCTCTTCTGCTATACTAACACTTCAAATTTTCATGACATTGAGGGGTATTTGTCTGTAAAATCAAAACACTGACTGTAACATCTTCGGCAAATTTACTACTCACATTTCTCAGAAATTAAACAATGTGGACTTGTCTCAGCTGAAATGGCTGGGCCTGAAATCTTTCAATTATTCATGGTCCAATTTATTATTTCATTTCATGTTTAAGAATTCTAGGTAGTAGGTTGGTAGACAGCAGCCGCCCAGGGAGGTACTACCGTCCTGCCAAGTGAGTGTAAAACAAAAGCCTGTAATTGTTTTACGTGATGGTAGGATTGCTGGTGTCCATTTTTCTGTCTCATAAACATGCAAGGTTTCAGGTACATCTTGCTACTTCTACTTACACTTAGGTCACACTACATATACATGTACAAGCATAATATACACACACCCCTCTGGGTGTTTCCTTCTATTTTCTTACTAGTTCTTGTTCTTGTTTATTTCCTCTTACCTCCATGGGGAAGTGGAACAGAATTCTTCCTCCGTAAGCCATGCGTGTTGTAAGAGGCAACTAAAATGCCGGGAACAAGGGGCTAGTAACCCCTTTTCCTGTATATATTACTAAATGTAAAAGGAGAAACTTTCATTTTTCCTTTTGGGCCACCCCACCTCTGTGGGATACGGCCTGTATGTTGAAAGAAAGAAAGATGTTTGAGAATTTTATTTTTAAACTGTGACAACTTCCACAATTGGTTTGTTGTTAATTTTTCTTTAATCATAACTTTGTTTAATAAAATCTCCCAGTTTTTGGCATATGTGTATGGAATTTCAAACAGGTAATAATTATGAAGAAATGATGTAAGTATAGTATAATTAGCTTATTCTGCAACAGTAATGTTTTAATATTATGTCCATTACAACCTCTCCTCACATAGCGACATACGTATTCGTTTACTGACAACTCGAACTTATGACAGGCTCTCTGACCAGTATGCATACCTAAATAATGTATATTAGAGCTGATTTCCTCTATTCTGTTTAATGCAATATGCAGTACACTACTGTATAAACATTCAAAAATACCAGAAATGTTACAAATGGTACAAAGGTGACATTAAAACAATATCAAAGATAGTTGACACAAACCTCCTACCATTATAGTAGTATGCTCCTCACTTAGCGATGAATTCATTTACCGACATGGTCTTAGGAATGGAACTCCACCATCAAGTGAGGAGAGGCGCTGTATTTCATTGCAAAAAAAAATTCTTTCTCATATTAATTATTCTTTCCAAATGTTGTGTTTAGGAATATAATTCATTACGTTTTTAATTTGGTTTTCAGGCAAAATCATAAATTGGCTCTTGGAGGTGGTGTTGCTGATAGTGTGCATACTGGCAAGAATACTTCGTTTAGCCAGAGTAGTTTTGGTATTGCGATATGTGGACCAAATGTAATGGCGGCTTCAGTCGTTATACCAAAATACATTAATAACCCCAAGGGTTTGGATGACTTTATGAAAGAGGTAAGTTCATGTCTGTTATTTGTTGATAAAATATTTCTTGTGATGTAAATGGTTTATAAAACCGACAAGTTGAAGAATGAGACACTGTTGCAACATTTGGGACTCTTTGTTGAGGAAATGCTTTGCCAGCCAGTGACTTCTTCAGTCCATTACTGAGAAGAACTGCGTGTCATTCTTCAAAATATTTAATGATTTCTGATTTTGTGGGAATAGTTTATAAAGGCAATAAAGTAGATGAGAAGCACCAGATGGACAAATTAGTTTTTTTTTTGGAAAGTTAAAACTAAAAATTAAGTCAATTTTTTAATGTCAACACCCTTCATGTTAATAATTTATCAGTATAAATATTCAGTTATTTTAAAAATATATTAGTTACGATGTCTTGTGACCAGGGTTTCCATAGGTCAGAAGATGGTGGCATTGCACAGTACTGTAGTTGCATTTGAGATGACCCTTGTACATAGCATGTGGGACAGAAATAGAGCCATTACTTATTTTATTTAAGTATCAGTACTGTATTATCAAGTCTTAATAAAGGTTACATTCTGGTGAAACATTGTCTCTCATAGGCTCTTTCTCGGTAGTTTGTTTTGTTTTTCTAAGACTAAAGCTGTAAGTTTAATTATATTGTACTGTACATAGTTAAATACATGCCAAATGTGTACATGGTTATATTGTATTAGAATAACAGGTTATTGGTAACAAGAATCTTCTTCTTCTTTCAACACACCGGCCGTATCCCACCGAGGCGGGGTGGCCCAAAAGGAAAAAACTAAAGTTTCTCCTTTTACATTTAGTAATATATACAGGAGAAGAGGTTACTAGCCCCTTGCTCCTGGCATTTTAGTCGCCTCTTACAACACGCATGGCTTACGGAGGAAGAATTCTGTTCCACTTCCCCATGGAGATAAGAGGAAATAAACAAGAATAAGAACTAGAAAGAAAATAGAAGAAAACCCAGAGGGGTGTGTATATATGTGCTTGTACATGTATGTGTAGTGTGACCTAAGTGTAAGTAGAAGTAGCAAGACGTACCTGAAATCTTGCATGTTCATGAGGCAGAAAAAAGGACACCAGCAATCCTACCATCATGTAAAACAATTACAGGCTTTCGTTTTACACTCGCTTGGCAGGACGGTAGTACCTCCCTGGGCGGTTGCTGTCTACCAACCTACTACCTAGGGGTAACAAGAATATACTGGCTATTTATGTACAGTACTGTAGTACTAGTAGAACTACTTGATACTTGAATATTTGCAAGAAAATTATTGTATGAGTGTACGTATTTACTTAAGAGTAAAACTTTCAGTATTAATGGTGATGCTACAGAACTTTGAATTATTTTTGTATATATATATATATGTATAGTAGTACTAATGCATACAGTACTACTGTTCTCCACATTTGTGATGGTTACATTTGTGCAGATGGTGAAATCTTTGATACAGAGTGTTTATTCCAACATGGGAGCCTAACGAAAGATGGTATAATATTGTACATGAGCCATTATTCTGGAATCTAGCAGCAGGTAGTGGACATTGCAATACAGATATATTGCATGTGTGAGCTTGAAACTCATGGATACATAAGTAATGCATTACTGGATAGCTGAGTGACATGCAGGGTGTCCTTGACATCTTCATCTATGGGGAAGATTAAACAATTTGCAAATAATTGAATTAAAATTGAATGCCATTAACAGCCATAGATGCATTAATTCTTGTACTTTTTTTTTAGCATTTAAGGTGAAAATGCTAATCTGGGAACATACATTCCAAATATTTTTTCTTCAGTGCTGCAGTACTGAAAGAATTAAAAAGCACAACACCATTACTGGAACAAGACACAAATAACTCGCACATGGAAGAATGAAACTTACGACATTTTGGTCCAACTTGTTAATGGTGTGACTAGTTAATGGTCCAGATCAGACTGAAATGTAATCATAAGTTTCATTCTCCTGTGTGTGGGTTGGTTGTATAGTGTTGAAGTACTGTATGTTTTTGAGTTATAAACCATGAAGAAGCAAAAAATTAAGATTAGCCCATCTCATTTGCGCCGTTTCGATAGGAATTACCATCCTTACTTAAGACTTTTTTACTGACAGCATTTCCGTGTTCGGGTTTTAATGTGCTCTACCCGGACTTATCCTAGCTGTAGGTGTCCCCCAGGATGTGTTCTGTGCACAACACTTTTTTCTTCCTGGCTATTAATGATTGGCCTCTAGTCTTCATCAAATTTTTGGGGCCCATCCACTCTATGTTGATGACTTCGCTAGTGCCGGTGCAGGCGCTGACTGTCACCTCCATTAACATGTTTCCTCCTGCTATGCTGTCGACCGTTTTTCAATTGGGCCACCACACATGGTGTTTTTAAATTTTCAGCCACTAAAAACCCACCAAATCCCCCCACCTTTCACTAGACGCTATGTAATCTCTGATATCCTTTCGTTCTCTTTGGCTCACCGTATCCCTGACGTGATACAGTCTAAGTTTCTGGGCCCCTCTTTGATAGTGGTTATCCTGGTAAACCTCACATTATCCTTCTCTGAAGGCAAAAATTGTCAACTGACCCGGCCTGAACCTTCTTAAAAACCCTTGCTCATCTTTGTGGGGAGCTGATAGTGAACACTCCTCACCTTACATTCCACCCTTATTTATCGAAACTTGATTATGGTGACCAGATCTATTCAGCGGCATCTAATGCTTACTCTCTCTGCCTTAAACCCCTTTCATCACCAAGGATTAGTTTATGGCCTTGGTGCTTTTGCTCTTCCCCTGTCGAAAGCATCTATGCCAGAAGCGAAGTTCCATTTCCTAATCCGATGCCGTGATGCCCATTGCCTGCGCTTCTATGTACGCCTCTCATGATTCCGCAATCCTTCATTTATAGAATGGTCACTGATATTAGTAGACATTCTTTATTTGTTCGCCGCCATGCTTACTCCGTCCCCTTCTCTCTTCGCCTTTCATTCGCTCTTGTCTTCCTCTTCAATAATACCACCTTTCTATGTACTTGTTGCATCACCACTTATCCCTCTACCCCCTGGGAAGTTTCAGCTGTATCGGGTCTGTTCCCCACTTCTCCCTCCCTTGCTCGAAGCCCAACTGTCTACGGTCTGCTTCCCGTCTCTTTTCTTGACCACTCTTCACTCTCATCTCATGCCTGTGCTGTGTACACAGATGGCCTAAGTCTTCTGACGGCGTTGGATTGCAAGCATTGTGTTCCGGACAGCGTCGTACAAGGGCTTTTACTATCTTCAGCTAGGTATTTTTACTGTGAATTAATATGCCATCCTTACAGCACTTATCCGTATTTGCATCTTATGCCTGTGTTCATACATTTGTCGGTTGTCCTCAGACTACCTAGTGCTTTCCGGCTATACAAAAATTTGATACACCTCACCACATTAGTCCTCCGTATCCAACTTTGGCTACGCCCGCCATCTTTACTAAGCATAAAGATATTGTTTTTTGTTGGGTCCTGGTCATGTTGACAGCTTCAGGGCAATGAACCAGGCAGACACTGCCTGCGCGGTCAGCAGTACATGACCGACCAGTTTCTTATAGAGGTATTCCATTGTCAAGGACTATTTTGCTGTATATCTTCCCACCTTCACAACACGTTGGGCAACAAACGGTGGTTCTCTATGCTCACGGCAACAACTTAGTCTATTAAACCGAGTATAGGTAAGGCAGTCTGCCTTTTCTCCAGTGTCGAGGGGGGAAGGACTACTACTCTCCGTCTTCGCATTAGGCATATCGTCTTCTTCATGGGATCTTCTCATTGGAAGATGGCGTCTTCTCCTCTCTGTGTGAATTCGCCAAGCTCCTTTATCAGTCGCTCATTTGTTGGACTGCCCACTTTATCAAACGATGCACGCAGTATTTACCTCTGTCGTCGTCTTCGCCCCGATGCTCCTCTCTTTACGTCCCTTTTCGCTGATGGACCCACCTTTAATCCGGACTCTCTCATTGACTTTTGACAAGACTGACTTACTCCACAAATTTTGATAACGTTCAGCCCTTTCTACTTGTAATCTCTGCCTACCCTCTACCCCCGTTTACCTATCCCCCTGCCCCGCTGGTTCTGTAACCTGACTGGATCATCCCCCTCCCTTCTGCCATCCAAATTACCTTGCTTCCTTCCCTACCCTGCAGACGCTGTATAGCACCGTTGGCTTAGCGCTTCTTTTTTGATTATAATAATAATAATATGGACCCCTGAGGGTTTAATCGCTTAGTTTTGATTGTAATAATATTTTATTCATAAGATTTTTTACTGATATACATAAAGGGGCAGAGTGCTAAAAACTAGAGTTACAGTGCATGGGGGATAGAGGGTAATTCAAAGAGTGATCCAAAGATGGGGATTATTTAATAATAATCATGGAGGGGAGCATTAAACCCTTAGGGATTTTACAGTCCCTGTTGCCCCACAGGCTTGTATTCCAGGGAATCTGGGCACAGATCCTAATTCACTAGTTAAGAGGCCCCTCACCAGATCAGGGACCTCCTTGGGGGGCCAAGTTACCACTTGGCATAGAGCTTCCATTCACTGGTATAAAAGTCCCTCTTAAATCATGTTTTTATATATTTCATGAGTGGAGCATTAAAACCACCATGGGTCATACAATTGCACTTGGGGAATGGGACTTAAATTCTGATTCATGGAAGGGGAGAGCAGCTAAATGTCTTTGCATCAAGAGCTTCTTTGATGACACTAAGGAATGTTTTACATTTTACTACTGAAACAATATACCATTAAGGGGTCATTACAGTGCTGGCGTTAGGGGAAAATAGTTTGGATTACTTAAACGATCCCAAACGTTATCGTCCACGTGTGTAGCGCCCCAAATTTTTTGAGAGGAAAAAAAAATGTTTTTTTAATAGGAATAAAGAGAATATGGTACCCAGGCATCCCAAATTATTTTAATAATGCGCACGTGAAGTGCGCACACCCATTCTCTCATGTCTAGGTGTGACTCAGGGTTTTCGTGGTAATGTTCAATGTTTGACAAAGTCTAAAACATATACGTTTGGGGTGTAAGCACGTTGAACGTTTAGATTCGTTTGGGTGTTTAAGGTTAAGGTGGGAGTTTAAGCTCCATTTCCTAATATCAGAGATCTTCAGTCATCAAAACCCATGTAGCAAAATGGCCCATAGAGAATCTGCTTAAAAGGGCTAGAAAGTGAAGATATTAAAAAGTAGGATGCAGTGCTGGTAACCTCAGCAACACTGTAGCACAACGAGCAGTGGCATCATCTGTCATATTAACAATTACAGCTGTATATTCCTGTGGCTTAGCGCTTCTTTTTTGATTATTATAATTAATAATTACAGCTGTGTTGGTGACAAAACAATGGCAGTCATCAGCAGTTTGGCATCAGCAGCAATGGCAATATTGATGTGTAGCAATTGCATTAGAGGCGGTGCACAAGTGGAAGCATACCTAAAAAAGTCAAGCTAAATCACAGGCTATAAGATGCCTGAAATTTATTCAGAGAAGTGGGAAGGATGGGGAAATGGGGAGGTAGTTACCTAGGTTCACATCCAAGGGACGGGGACAAGCTATTTTACCATAAAATTAACAAGATGCTTGGTTTGCTTGTTTTTTTTATGGGCACTAAATTTGTCGGGGATCAAAATACAGAGCTTGGGCAATCAGGTTCAATCCAGGGAAAGGAACGGAAAATAAGTTCCTCAGATCAAAGGCCTCTCACTGGCACCCAAGGCACCTCTTCTCAAGAAGGCATGGCGATAAAGCGTTCCTTTCTGATAAGAAATCCTACTAAAGGTTACTTTTTTCTAAATTAATAAAAAAAAAATTTCAGTGCCTAAATTTTTGATTTGTTGACCTCATTTTAGTCCCTTTTTTGCTTTCCAAAGGTCAATATTTTTTTTTTTATCACTCTGGCCAATTTCCCACCAAGGCTGGGGGGCCCGAATAAAAAAGAAAAAACTTTCTCAATCATTCGCTCCATCACTGTCTTG